TAAATTATGCTCCATTGGTCGTTTTTATTTTATATCAACCTTTACTTCTGTGACAGTGAGATAATGTGATGTCTTTACTGGGCTAGTGTAACTCATTCCTTACTTAACCATTTCAGATCAGGAGGACTTGGTTCTCGAGTCCGTTCTGCAGGAAGACGACGAGTAGAAGCCAAAGAATTTATTAGTTTTCCTTATAGCATTCATTCATAGTATTTCCTTTAAGTTAGTTTATTCTTTCATACGTTTAATTCGTTTTGGTTATTGTGTAAGGGATGTTAATCATAATCTATTTTATTTTTCTTTCGCACTTAGAATAAATATATACATTTTCTTTTAATTTCCGGGGCCGTTACAGTTGGTATCAGAGCCGCGTTCCCTAAACCCGTCCTTTACACAATGATACTTAGAGGAATACCAAACTGAGAATTATTACTCAACCATTCCTTATGAAATGCAGGTGCAGAGAGATGAGGAGATGGAGACCCCCACTAAACCGAGCAGCCCGGGATGATTCGCTTCGGGAGGATGTTGACAGAATATTTGAGATGCTCGAAAGGATCATTGCTGCTCAACAAGGTCGAGAGGAGAGAAGGGAATTACCCGACCCTCCTCACTACTACAGTTTGAGCCACCGCTGCAGCGAGCGGATCCTGAGCCACCCCGGCAAGAGCCTGCTCCTCCACAGTACCTGATATTAGAGCTACGTTCCTCAAACCCATTCCTTAAACAAAATCCTTAGGAGACGCCAAAAATAATGAATTGTCACTCAACCATTCCTTGTGAAATACAAGTTCAGATAGATGAGGAGAGGAAGAGTCTCACTAAACCGAGCAGTCCGGGAGGGTTCGCTTAGAGAGGATATTGACCGGTTATTTAAGATGATGGAAAGACTCATTGCTGCCTAGCAGACCCGGGAGAAAAGGAGGGAGCTACCTGACCCTCCCTCACTGCCACAGATTGAGCCACCCCTGTACGGGAGGATCCCGAGCTACCCTGATATGACCCTGCTCCTCCACAGTACCACTCGGTACCACCACAGTATAATCCGATGCCCCAGCCACTGCATCACCCGACACCACCACAGTACAATCCGGTGCCTCCACCGATCATCAAGTACCACTGCAGGGCCATTCAGTCCATCCTTAGCACAGTCCAGTCCCTCATCCATAGGACCCAGCTCCCCTCATGATGGACCCAAGCTACATAAAAAGGTATAAAAGACTAAATTCATCTAATTTTCTAGGAGGATCCTCCTTTGAAGATGTCGAGTTCTAGTCAGCTGAGATAAAGAAGGCCTTCAAGACCCTTGAGGTGATTCCCTAATAAAAGGTCATCCTTGCTACCTACATGCTAGTGGAAGAAGCAGACCGCTGGTGGCAACTCAAGCAGACTACCCTGCCTTTTTTAGTCACTTCGGAACAGTTCCTGATGGCCTTTCATGCAGAGTACCTCCCAGAGCATCTCCGACACCTGAAGGAGATGGAGTTTGTATACTTGGTCCAAGAGGACATGATTGTATCAGAATATGCTCACAAATTCCTAGAGTTGGATCGATATTCTCCTCAGAGCATGATGGATGAAGGCATGAAAGCTAGAAGGTTCGAGTGGAGTATCTGTCTTGAGATCAAACAACAGTTGTTTGTGCTCGAGCTCAGTACTTATTGAGCTGTTCTGGCCAAGGCACAGTTAGCGGAGAGGGGCTTTCGCACCTTCTCTTAAGTAGTAGGGAGCCTCAAGTCCTCAGCCCCACACCGCAGACTAGCACCTACTGCACTTGTTTTACAGAACAAGAGACCCAAGCCGATGACTCAGGCTCCCCCTCAGGTTCCAGCAGTAGGACGCGGTAAGATCTGTCAACATTGTAGTAAGAATCATGGGGACCGATCTTTCTATCGCCTCAATAACACCTACCATATATGTGGTAGTACCCAATATTATGCAAGGGAGTGCCCGAGGAAGTAGAACCAGGCCAGACCTCTTATCCAAGCCAGAGCTTACAATCTCACTCAGCAGGATCCAGAAGCAAACCCGGACGTGGTACAGGTTATGTACACTATCTGTAACCATCTTGCCCATGTTTTGATTGATACTAGTGCATCATATTCATTTTTTTCACATGTTTTTGCATCAAAATTAAATGTATTACTTGAAAAACTTGATTTTGTGTTGTTTGTGTCTATTCCTAGGAATATGACACTATTGGGGGAGGTTGTATACAGAGTCTATGTCATAGATATAGCAGATAGGAAATTAAGTGTGGACCTAATAGAAATTGACATGGAGAACTTTGATGTAATTTTAGGAATGAACTGGCTAGCAGCGTATCTCGCCACTATAGATTGTTTTAGCATAAAAATTGTATTCAACCCTCCTAATGAGAAATCATTTACAAATTAATAAAATTGTTTAATATTTATTCCTTCATGGCAAATTTTCTTATTATCAAGTACTTTAACCAGTTGTTTTCTCTAAATAGGCAAATCCAAGAAAGAAATTTGTATTCAAGAGATTCTGGTAATCGGAGACTTTTCATATGTGTTTCTGGATGAACTACCTGGACTGTCAG